GACAAGATGCTCAGAATGAGCGTATGTAAACATCTGACTGCAACTGTAAAATTGCTCCCCTCTGAAGTCGTCATTTTAAACTTTTTTTGTCTCTTTCCGAAAAGCTCGGCCGTCTCTAGATCGCTGTTCGTTGTGAGTTTCCATCCACCGTAGAAGGTTTTTCTTGCAGAAGCTCACCGGACGGTTACTTCAGCTGAAAGTTAGCTTTAGCAGCTTTCATCCAAACCTGGGACCATCTTGTACCGCATCTCATGTAACAATTCATCCTCCACAAATATTCCTGCAGTGTTACATTAAAGATCAAAACTGGTGGAAGAAATATTAAAGGCCAAGCGCAGTTTGAAAGACAAAAGAACTGTCGGTGTTCGTGTTTTTTGTCTGTGCTGTTGAGAATTTACACAAATTCTGTCTTCAAACTTACTTTTCCCTGTTCTTTGTGAACGTTCGTTAAATAAAAAGAAAAAAAAACAGCGGAATCCAGTCGATTGAGGCTACGTGCCGTCTACGTCGGCATTTTATTTTTGAATCTTGCAGTCTTAGTTGGCTTCGTTAACAGCTGCCTCAGGTTTTGGGTGGATGTTTTCAGGCAGTTAGGCGAGGGAAGACACCAGCATCGTAAATTTACGTCGTTTCGACAAAACTGACACGTATAGGAAGGAAACTGGAGTCCTGTATTTATTGATGTGATCCTCTACACTGGCTGAATTCTCAAATGTCTTATTAAAAACAAACAAAGTTCAGACATTGAAAGTGATCATGTTAGATGATGAGCAATAATCTGTAATAACGATGATAATAATAAAGAAAAATGTAAAAAGTGTAACCAGCTCGTGTGGTTTCTTTTGTGTGGAGCTGTTTCTGGACTTCTTTATTCCATAAAGGTTATCGTCTGATTTCTCTGCCAGAGCATGAAGGCTGATTGCATTGGGGCGTTTTTAGTTGGAAGAGAGTTGGAACAGGCAGGAAATTGTGCCAAATGTTTTTCACCTTCTGCCAAAAAGCAAAGACAAAATGTGTTTGTGTACAAACTTCCACTGCAGTTTCAAATATATATATATATATATATATATATATATATATATACTTTGAGTAATAAGTAGTTTAGATCAATTGGAGTGAGGTTATATGGAAAGGTTATGAACAATCGATGTCACCAGTTGTAAATGGCTCTATCATTTTTATAGAGCACTAAAAACAGCTACAAGGCCAACCAAAGTGCTGTACAGACAGAACAACAGGTAACACACAAAGCAAAATACAAAATGAAGTAAATCAGAAATATAGACATGAATACGATGCGGATAATGACGATAAACCAGTGTGGAGCGTACA